CGTTTCGTCGGGTGGGGGCGGGAGCGGGGGGGCCCCCAGGCTTCTGGGGTGGGCTGGCTTGGAGGGCAGGGGGGAACACCCCCCCCATCTCTCACTGGTGGCATGGCTGGGGGCGGGTCTCTGTACTTCCTGCCCCCGGTGAGTGCAGCCCCAGCCCTGCTGCAGAGATCAGGGGAGTTGGGGTGGGGCAGGGGCGGGGGCATCACCAGAGCAGCAGGGAGCAACTAGAGTTGGCAGTGGATACAGGACAGGGTGAAAAACTGATGACATCTAAGCAACTTGCCCATGGTCACCCCAGGAGACCGTGGGAGGGCCAGGCAGTGAACCCAAGGCCTCTGAATGCCAGTCTAGGGTTTTAACCGCAAGGCTATCCTAACTCCTATTGTTTTTGTGGGGAGGACTGAAGGAGGGAAGGAGTAACTTTGGCGATTCTAAGTAGGTAGCTTAATCACAAGGTGGTTTCCCCCCAACCCCATCAAAAATGTTCATTTTGAAAATGTTTGGATTTTGAAATCTAAAAATGTCATTTAAACACATTACAACTTTCAAAAACAGGGGGAAAAAATCCATAAACAAAAGTTCCATGAGAGAGAAGGTGCGTGAAGTAATATCTTTTATTGGACCAACTTCTGAAGAGCTCTGTGAAACTCAAAACTTATCTCTTTCACCAACAGACAGTCCAATAAAAGATATTACTCATCCACCTTGTCTCTATAATAGCCTGGGACCAACACGGCTACAATAACACTGCAAACAAAAATTCTCTGGATGTTTTTGAAAAATGAAAAGGCATCTGTTGAGACAAAACTGTACTTGGGTATTTTCAGTAATGTGGCTTCTATAGAATACATTTATTTTCAAATTTCCTTCACTTTGATTTAGCTTGGTAAATGGGGTAAACCAATCTTGTACCCATAATCAGCTTTGACTTTACTGACAGGTTTCAGAGTAGCAGCCGTGTTAGTCTGTATCCGCAAAAAGAACAGGAGTACTTGTGGCACCTTAGAGACTAACAAATTTATTTGAGCATAAGCTTTCGTGGACTACAGCCCACTTCATCGGATGCATGCAGTGGAAAATACAGGAGGAAATATATATATTGTGATAGACCCAAGCCAGTTGGGTACAGCAGAATAGCAGAAGGCAGATATACTGGCCACTGGATTAACAGTTTTCTGTTCCCTGACCGACCAGAGCAGGGGCTATTCCAGGCTAATGAGAACACCTGACTCCAATTAACCTGCAAAGAGTCAGGTGAGGCCATTAAGCTAATGTGACCACCTGACTCTAATTAAGGCCCCACTGATACTATAAAAAGGGCTCACTCCAGTTAGGCAGAGTAGAGCCAGTGTGGCTGAAGGACTGGTTAATGAAGACACTCTCAAGTTATTGGTAAGGGAAAAGCAGGAGAGCTGTGGGGAAGTGACGCAGGGAAATGTAGCCACTGTGGCGGTGAAAGGTTGGCTGCCAACAGCTGCTATCATTAGGGTCCATGGGCCGGAACCCAGAGTAGAGGGTGGGCCCGGGTTCCCCCAACCCACCACTAAAGGAACATCTCCTGGGAGGGGAAGTCTGGCACCTCTCAGGACAGGAGGCTAAACTGTTCTAAAACAAGCCCTAGGGACAACAGAGACTGTGGGAATTCTCTCACCAACCTCCTTGCTGGCTTATGATGAAGAGGGCTCAGTAGACTGTAACCCTGGCCCTAGAGAGAGAAGGGCTACGTGGAGGGTCACAGAGAGCAACTGAGGCTAGCATATAGCACCTAGAAGCGCAGAACCTGCAGGGACAAGGTCAGAGCTCTGTCACAATATACACATACCGAGAACATGAAAAGGTGGGAGTTGCTCTACCAACTTCGGGGGCGGAGGGATAGCTCAGTGGTTTGAGCATTGGCCTGTTAAACCCAGGGTTGAGAGTTCAATCCTTGAGAGGGCTGCTTAGGGATCTGGGGCAAAATCAGTACTTGGTCCTGCTAGTGAAGGCAGGAGGCTGGACTCAATGACCTTTCAAGGTCCCTTCCAGTATAGGTATATTTTTATATTTTAGCTCTAAGAGGTTAATTAATGTAATTACACACATTGAATCTATTTCCCCATGTTAAGTATCCTCACACCTTCTTGTCAAACTGTCTGAAAGGGGCTATCTTGATTATCACTACAAAAGTTTTTTTTCTCCTGCTTATAATAGCTCATCTTAATTAATTAGCCTCTTAGAGCTGGTAGGGCAACTCCCACCTGTTCATGGTCTCTGTATGTATTCATATCGCCTTACTATATGTTCCATTCTATGCATCCGATGAAGTGGGCTTAGGCTCAAATAAATTTGTTAGTGTGTAAGGTGCCACAAGTGCTTTTTTTTTTACTTTACTATCTATCAGCATTAAACTTGACAGACTTTTTACAACTATTTTCCCATTACCGGTGGAGATCTCTCTCTCTCTCTCTCGGAACAAAAAGGCAAACATTTGAGACACAACCCAGCAGCTGGACCATGGATGAGATAAGCTGAAAATCTACATTGTAGTGGAAAAAGAACAGGAGTACTTGTGGCACCTTAGAGACTAACAAATTTATTAGAGCATAAGCTTTCGTGCTTCATCTCACATCACTCTGAGTCAGGCAGATCAGGGACTTAAGCCTGTCTTCCACATCTCAGGCCAGTGGCCTGGCCTCCCG